GCCTGGCCTGTTACTCAGGGCTGGGCTCGTTTCACACCCTTGAGCAATGTAGCTGTGTTGACCTAACTTTTAAGTGTAGCCCAAGTCTAAATAAACCCTCCGGCCCGACCCCGGCCCAGGGGGGTCTCCAGAACAAGCCTAGCTAATGAAAGCAAACGGCCTGGCTGGCAGTTCCATGAGCTCCTTGCCAGGAACCGCTGGGCAGGGAACGCAGGAGCCCAGGCTCCTGAGGGAGATGGGATGTCACTTTTCAACAGAGTTTGCTTTTAAGAAGAGAATAACAATTCCCTTGCCACAAGCTCTCCTCGTGCCTGGCCCCCTGCTAATGGCTGGCGCACTCGGAATCTGTCACCCTTTAAACTGCTGATTGCCACGGAGTCTGTCAATACGGAGCGCTGCTCGTACTGGCAGCAGAAATACAACCCTGAATCCCTCGGCTCAGGCAGCGAGGAAACGTGGGGCCCAGGCCTGTGCCCCTGGCCAAGCGGCAGACGCTAATTCCTCTTTACAAAGCATCTCTGGCTGAGCAGCGGGAAGCTGCTGCCCTTTCCCTGCTGCGCAGGATAGAACATGCGTCTGTTGTGGTGTCAGCTCAGCTGATCAGTTCCTAGATAAGGGACCTGCTGGCAGCAAGCAGAGAGGGGAGCGGGACTGGGTCTGGGAGGGCATTGGGAACGACTCTGTTTCCTCCAGGGTGATTGCAAAGCACAGAGCCATTCTGGTTGCTGGCTTGCAGCTGAATGTTTTGCCCAAGCCCCAGCCTCAGCTCAGGATTCCTGAGCCATTGTGGGACAATTAGGGCCGGGAGCGACACAGCTGGGGCCAGACACAGCTCTCAGCAACCCCCGTGTCAATGCAGAGTCCTGCACTGGAGCCCACGCATGCTGCTGGCGTGGCTGAGAGCAGGGTCCTGCCAGTCAGCTTCGCCACACATGCAGCTGCAAGAGAGTGAGGGCATCCTCCCGCCTGCGCCCCAAGGTGCAGGCGAAGCATGGCTGCGGAGAGCTGCATGCAGCACTAGTGTCCTGCTGGGGGAGGGCAGAGGCCTCAGCCTTGGCTGGGAGGGATGTCACCTCTCCAGTGGCCATAGGGACGGCTCAGCCCAGAGGAGACAGGGGAAGGGCACAAGACTTGGGGGCACAAACACCCACCCATGGGGCAGAGAGCATGCCTCTCCTCTCCCCTGCCCAGTGCTGGGGGGTCAGGCACTGGCTGTGGGGCTGAGGAAGGCAGGGTACAGGGTATCGTCCCATCGGAGCATGACCTGGACTGTCTCACTCACTGCCCGGGCTGCCTTCTCCTGGCGCTGCACCATGGTCCAGGCACCAGAGAACCAGTCAGCCAGGGCGCCCGTGGCCAGAGAGCAGCTGCTCTGGGAGTGAGGGAGTTGGTGTAAAACTGGCATTAGAGTGAGAGCGTGCTGGGGCCTTCTGGGAAAGGTACAGGGGGACCCGGCCAGCCCTTGGGAATACACGTGTGTACACACAGCATAGCTGCCGATACACAGCGCGTGTGATTCGTCTATCCCAGACGAGCCCTGCTGCACACGCCCCTTGTCTGCGGAGAGGGAGGTCGGCTCCCTGCTTGGCCGGTGCTGAGGCAGGGCAGGGTTGGCATTGGCGTGTTGTGCTGCCCATGGATGCAGGAGCCTGAGGCACACAGGGCCCTGCACTGGCCAACGTCCCTTTGCCGGCTTTGGCCTGGGTTACTGTCCATGCTGACTGCTGGCTCTGATTTCACGTTCCTGCCTCCGGCATCTCGCATGTCCTGGCTACTCTGCTGGGAGAGGCTGGGGCTGGACTAGTCGGGAGCTCCCGCCACAGCCGAGCATCTGCCCTGCTCCCACCAGCACCCCCTGCTGGGAGTCTAGACCTGCATTTGCTGTTTTATGCACCAAACCCCCTCTCTAGCCCGTCTGCTAAGTGCTCAGGTCTCTCACGTCCCTGTGTGCAATGCAGGGCCAGGCACCCGCGTGGCCCCAGCCCACGTGCAGCAAGGAGCTGCACTGACCCTCTGGTTCCAGTCTCTGCCGGCTGGTAGCAGGCCCATGTTTATCCTGTGCTGGGCCGACGAGAGGGCGTTCAGGTAAACACCGCCTGCAGCAGCCCACAAACCTCATCCCAGCCCTGCTGAGTGGTGCTGAGGCGGGCACTGCCTGAGCTGGGGTGCTGGGACGGCGTGGGTAGAAGGGCCAGCCCACGGCTGGGGCTGGCACACAACTGACAGCTCCACCTCCCATCCCTCCAGGCAGCTGGGCACAAACATGTTTACCTTATGCTTGACCCTCATGGCTCCACCGCAGGTTCAGCAGAATCCCAGGGACTCTGAACGTCCGCCCCCTTGGCATGGAACCAGTGCCCAATGGCCTGGCCTCCTGCCCGCCCCGTGCAGGGCCCCTGTGCGGCAAACAGCCTCACAGCAGTGCCCTGCTCTCTCACCTTGCGTATGGCATCACAGCCGGCATCTCAGCAGAAGCCCTGGCCTTCCTCTTGCTGCCCCCCACAGCCGGCGTGTCAGGCTCAGAAGTGGCAGAACCAGGAGCCCTGCTGCTTGCGCATTAATCAGGCCCTTGGAGACCCAGACGGCACAGACAGACACACAGCTAGGGCTCCGTCGGTCCGGGGGTGAAGCCCAGGGAAGTCCTGCCGAGCTGCAGGTGGCTCTGGGGAGGTGAGAGGCTCTGGGGTCCCTGTCTCAGGCTTCTGCCACGGAGCCTGCAGGAGGGAGCAGAGGCCAGTCCCAGTGCATAGCCTGCTCCCCAGGGCAGCAGCGGGCACCCCACATGCCCCATCCTCCCCTACACCCCGAAGATGCAGCAATCGTGAGGGGTCGCTGCTGCAGCTCCCTCCTCCCCCTCTCCTGGGCCATGCCTGAGCCCTCTCCTGGGGAGCAGGGACAGGAACAAAGTGGGAGGCCAGATGGCATCGTTAGGCTTCGTTAAGGTGACGAGTTTTCCTTGCCTCCCCATCCCAGGTTGGCTGCGTTCCAGCTGCTGGAGCCCAATAAGTGTCACATCCAGGCTGCGGCTCCGGCGGGACATGAAATGTGTCAAGCCGGCGGGTGCCCATGGCACAGCCTCTGCCCAGCAGTTTCTCTCACAGCTCCGGTGGGGGCCCCTTGGGGCAGTGATGTGGGAGCACCCCACTGCTAGCAGCTTCACCCGCCCCCTGCAGCACCCCCAGCTGAGCTGGGACGAGCTGGGGCACCTGCAAGAACCTTGAGTGCAAACCAGGGGGTGGAACTGTGAGCTAGCGGGTATGGGCTAGACATGCAGAGGCCTCCTGTCCCGGGGAGGGGGGGGGGCGCGGCGCTCCCACTCTGTACAGTCCGGGCAGCACTCAACGTTCTAGACACTGCTGCTGGGAGGGAGCTGCGCCGAGGCACAGGAACTGGGGGGAGAGGGGAGCGCCTGGCTGAGACCCCCCAGTGTGGCTCTCCCCTCCCCGCACACCCAGTGGGTGGACAGGGCCCCGGGGATGAGGTGGCTCTGGGGCCTGTTTGACAGCTAAGATTTTTGCCCCTGTGCAAGGCTCTGGGGAGTTGGGGGTGTCAGCTCCGTCCCTCCCCATCCCCCATGAAAGCAGCAACAATCACAGACCTGCAGCGGTTCCATTGGTTTATTATCACAGTTACAAATGCTCCAGTTCTTTGATCCCACGGGGCACCTGGCTCATTGCCTGGCCCGACTACTTGCGGGCAGCAGCAGCATTTCAGAAGTGTTGGCTCGTGGGGGCAGCAGCAGCAAGGAGCAGGCATGAGATACAAACGCTCCCGTCACAAGCAGGATCCAGCCCCCGCGACTCACTCTGATCCTTAGACACTACAGCAGGGCCAGCACAGAGCAGCCCCAGCAAAGCTGCCAGCAGGAGGCCCGGTCTGCCGGAGAAGGCAGCTCCGCTGGAATGTGCTGGATGTCGGGGTCCCACTTTGCTGCACCACCACAGGGTTAGACAACAGCTCAGATCTCTCCTGAACTGCTCCAACCCCCAGGGTACAAGGCCGGGGCACCCGTGTGCTATGCAGAGCTCACACCCATCAGTCTGTCGGTCCGGACCACCGGGTGCAGACTAGACAGCAGGTGCGGTTTGGACGGGTTCCCACAGCTACTTTTCATCTACGTAAGACACTTTCCAAGGTGACTCCTGCCAAGTCCCCATCGTGGCCTGAGGCATCGTGTGCCCCAGGCGGGTTTGAGGCAGAGCCGCAGACACAGCGGGTCAGGCACTGCCCAGCCCAGGACGGGAGCTGGGCTGTGTGCGCAGGAGAAGGACTTTACTCTCCCTGCCCCTAGCCGGCGCTCCACCCTCTGCCTGGGGCAGCTGAGCAGGGGAGGGTCCTTTCTCCATCATTGGTACAAAGCACAGATCCCTGAAGAGCCCAACAACCTTTGGGTGTCTGGGAGATTTTGGCTGAGCAAACTGATCTTTAAAGCATGAGGCAGCAGGTGGGGAGAGGCAGGAGAGGGGCTGAGGGAGCCAGACTACTGGGGAGAGTATTACCGGGGGCGGCACTAGACCCATCCCAGAAGAGGGGGAACCCGTGGACAGCAAGCCAAGGACCTGCAGGAAGGAGGGGATGGGGATGCCATCAGTCCGACACGGGCAGAGATCACACGGGGATGGAGGCGGGAGCCAAACAGAACTGGTTCGGCACCCTGAGCCTGGGTCTCCTTTCTCCGCCCCGGGATCCTCTGGGGAAGCCCGCGATCCCCTCCCCAGCCGCCACCGGTAATACTGCCACTAGACCCGCTGCCCTGAGGGCCGGGGGAGCCGGCCCCACCTGAGCCCCCGTCGCTGAAGAACCTGCCAGGTTCTGCTGTAAACACGGGCGCCCTGGGACTCGAGGCCTGTCACAGAGCAGGGGATGGACCGGCTCCGAAGAGCCTTGGCCTCCCAGGTCATGCCCCCCCGGGGGCCTGTAAGGTGCAGGGAGGAGAGGACCCATCCCTATTGCTATGGCAACTGTGGGGCCAGTCCAGGGGCAGGAAGGGGGGCCCTTTGGCCCAGCTGGGTTAGTGGGGGGCAGGGAGGATGGGGAGGGGCCTTCTGGGACCTCAGTGGTGTCTTGCTGGGTCTCATCCCCCGGGAGGAGTCTGGAAGGCGCAGGGCCCTTCCCCCCTCAGGCCAGCACTTTGATCCCAAAGTACTTGCGCAGCTGCTCCAGGAAGACGAAGGTGAGGACGGTGTGAGGCACCAGGCGGATGGCAGCAGGAACGAAGCCCTGGAAGGGGACGGGCAAGAAAGGAGAAAGGGGAGGGTCAGTCTCTGTCCTGCTCGGGCCTCCCCAGCCAGGATGCTCCGGCCCTCTGGGGGGCGTGGGTGGGGCAGTTGGGGGTGGTGGTGGAAGAGAAGGACAGGAGGAGGCTGCGGGGAGCAGAAGTGGCCAGGCAGGGAAGCAGCAGCCGGGTCCAAGCGGCCAAGGGGAGGGGCAGCAGGAGGGGGAGGGAGAGGTGCTGCAGACAGCCAGGGTGCGTGGGGTTTGCACGGTTGATGAATCTGTCCCCAGGCAAGTCAGCGCCACTGTCAGCACCGCCCAGGCCCAGCGGGAGCCAGGGCCAGGGCCCCAGCCCCTACGGGCCTTTTCATGGGCTCCACCCCCACAGCTCCTCACCCACCCACCCGGCAGGCAGGTCCTAGGGCTGCCTCCAGGCAACCCTGCCCCAGGAGCCATTGAGCAGGCCCCCGCATCCAGGGGCGGCTCTATGTTTTTTGCTGCCCCAAGCATGGCAGTCAGGCGGCCGCCGGCGGCATGCCTGCGGGCAGTCCGTGGTCAGACGGATTCGGCGGCGTTTCTGCGGGTGATCTGCCGGTCCCGCGGCTTCGGCTACCCACCGCCGAATTACCGCCGAAACCGTCGGACCTCCTGCAAGCACGCCGCCGAACGCTGTCTGACTGTCGCCCTCACGGCGACCACCACGCCACCCCCCACGGCTTGCCGCCCCAGGCACGCGCTTGCTGCGCTGGTGCCTGGAGCCGCCCCTGCTCGCATCGCCCGCCCCCTGTGCTCCTTTCACCCCACACTCTGCTCCCCAGCCCCCACATGAGCACCCTCCCGCTCCCACACTCCTTCCACCCCCTACCGGCCCCCAATGCGCTCCAACCCCCCAGCCGCGGCCTGCTACCTTGTAGAAGGCCAGAGGTCCGAGCCTGGCGGTCTCCACTGCGCAGTGGACAACACCCTGAAACGAAAGAGGGAAATAAGCCAGGAGACCCACTCCGGAAACTGCCTCGGACTGATCTGGCTCGCAGCTGCCCTGGAGATAGGAGTGTCTGGGCTGAGATCTGGGGCAGGGGCAGCTGTGGGGCGTGAGGAGCCAGGGATCCAGCCATGGGGCAGTGGGGAGGGTACCTGGGCAGCTGGTGAGATTGTGGCAGGGAAGGGGGGTGGGGAGGGGCAGGACCGATTGCAGCGAGCCCGGGCAGGGTCACAGGGTCACTCACCCGGTACTCTCCCTGAGAATTCATCAGGCGGGTCTTGAGTACGTCCATGGGCTGGCAGAGGAACGTGGCACATCCGCCCTGGGGGGAAGGGACAGAGATGGGTCAGACAGGGAGTCCCTGGGACTAGTGGTGCCACTGGCCCTTCCAGTCCCTGGGCAGAGGGCAGGTGAACGGACACAGGAGCTGCCTACGTAACCCACCCTGCTAGCAGAGGGGAACAGGGCAAGAACCTACATGCTGTGAACAGAAGAGACCTGCAGGCCTGGGGGGTCTCCTCATCCCACTGTCTCATTTCTCTGGGCCAGGAGCTCCGCAGCAGCAGCCTGAGGCTGTGGGAAGCCAGCAGCCCTGTGGGGTGCGCACCTAGCGCCTGTCTGCAATTCCCATGACTAGCACCATCGGGCAGCCCTCCCCCCGCCCTGCCCCCTACTCACAGCAATGAAGCTGGCCAGGAAGTGAGTGAAGATGTTGTCGGAGAGAAGCCCGGTCGTGAGAACCAGCTGCTTGGCCTGGTCATAGCAGGAGAGCTGCAGGAAGGGGGGCAAGTTAGTGTCTCATCCCGCCCTGCCTCCGTGTCTCCCCAGACCCCAGGGGACTGGCTCCCCCACCCCCCAGAGGTGGCCCGCGAGGCCCGGGGCAGAGCCAGTCCCAGCTGCCCCCCAGTGCCCGCGGGAGGGTTCCTACCTGTCCAACGGTGACCAGGGCCCCTCGGCTCGACGCCATCGTAGCACCTGAGAACAGCTTCTTCAAGCCCTCTGGGGAGGGGGAGGGGAATCAGTGCACAGTGCGGGGGTGTGAATTCAGCCCCAGGCCAGCGGGGAGCCGCCATTCCCATTAGCCCTGTGCCCAGCCACCCACCCACGGCCTGGGGCTTGTGCAGGGTGGCAGGCCCTGGCTGTGACTCCAGCCCCTGGACCCTCCACCACCCAGCGGGGGAACTCCCCAGGGGCTCCTCTGAAAGCCCCCGCCCCTGCCTCTGGCTCCGAGGGAAGAGAAGTCACTCACCCTAGCACTGGTCCTTTCAGCCTGTTCTGGCACTCTCCCTCTCCACTGCTTGTCTGTCTGTCTGTCTGTCTGCCTCTTCTTCCTTTCTTTGAAAACATAACTCCCCTTTCAGGCTCTCCCTTCCCAGCTGGGGGGTGAGGGGAGTGTTTCATTCCCACCACTGGAGGGCTCGGGACTGGTGCCTCTCACTGCAGTGTCTGGTCTGGCCCTTGCTGTGTCATCCCCCGGGACAAACCCAAACTGCTCAGAGGGCTCCTAAGGCTGCTCCACTTCAGAGGCAGCATCTGGATGAACAATCCCAACCACCCCCTAACGCCCCCCCGACCCAGCCTGCCCCTTGGGCCCTGCTCTTCTCCGGCACCCGCTCTGCTTGGCCATTTCGACCCCAGCCTCCAGCCACACCCACGACAGGGCTGCCAGCCAGGCTGCCCCTGGTCCCTGCAGACTTCAATCAGCTGGATCCAGTCCCCCAACCCAGCTGCCACTTGGCCCCTGACCAAACCGAGCCATTTAGCTGCCCTGGTGTCCCCCAGAAGCAATTCCTGCCCTGGGGCTTCACCACACCAGCAGGGGTGCCCCCGCTCAGGCGAGAGGAGATGCCAAGCCCCTGTGCCCCCAGGCCTTTGGCAGAGTCCTACCCTCACGGAGCACTCGGTACATGCCATCCAGGGCGTGGGAGTAACTGGAGGGACAAGAAGGGAAAGAGGTAAAGCCGTGAGCCCTTCCAACCAGCCCTCATCCTCTCCGACGCCCCACTCAATATGTCCAGGGTTGCTGGAAATTCCTGCTTGAGGAGCAGAGCTGGGGTCACCCAATACACTGCCCCCCACCCCACCCCGCCCCCCAGCCTGGCTCCCTCCAGCCAGCAACTGTGGCGCTTGGAGCAATGCTTCCCCCTTGTGGCCACGCCACCTCACTGCAGCTCCCATCCACAGGGAGGGCACAGGGGGAGTGGATCCCCCCCAGTGCCACCATGTGAGCAGCCCCTTAGCATCCCATTAGGGATCCTTGCCACCCCCCCACCCCCACCACATGCAGGGGGCGGGAGGGACCCAAGCCAGCTGGTCTCAAGTCCCTGGGGTCCCCCCACTTATTGCACCGTCACTCACTTCCGCCTCAAATGCACCGGCTGCTTCATGTCATTCTGCATCCTACAGAGACAGAGCAGTGGGGGAGGTGAGGGGAGACAGACCAGGACAGACTGAATGACCTGCCCCTGTGATCAGCCCTTGGGGTGGGGCTCTGGCCCCCTTGTTCTGAGCAGGCCTGAGCTCACCCAGCATCCGACTATGACCGGTGCTCCCTGGGGAGATGGGGCCACGCAGAGGGCGTAGCCCTGCACCCGCGGGGACGGGGACCTAGCAGGGATTCTCCACGGCCAGCTCCTGTGACATCAGGAGGGGCCAACCCCAGAGATCTGGAACCCCTGGCCTGGGGCAGCCCCAGGCACAGATGGGGCAATTCTGGTCCCTCCAGGTGCAGGACGTAGGATCAGGTCACAGCCCATGGAGTCCACGACAAGCTGAGATGGGATGGCCCACAACTCCCCCGCCCTGCACTCCAGCCACACCCCCAGCGAGCAGAGCGTCCGAGACGCATGGAACTGACCTGACGTTCACCATGTCTGCCGGGGTCCCCACAAACCCACCAGTGAAACCTGCAACCAGAGAAGATTCAGGGTCACGGGACTCCCCAAGCCTGGCCACAGCCCATGGCCTGGGCTCCCCTGCCCCTGCTCACCTCCCACAGCACCCAGCAGCACCTTCTGGTAGAAGGGCAGAGGTCCCTGGGTGCCTTGGCTCACGCGGTCCCGCACGGTCTCATAGATGGCGAAGCGGGTCAGGGAGTACGTCATCTGAGGAGACAGAGAGTCAGAGCAGGGCCCAAGTGCTGCACCCCAGGGGACTCCCTGCCCTCCCCAGACAGCCACCAAAGGCGCTGCCCAGCACGTGGCACCGAGCCCCTGGCTCCCCAGCTCAGCCAGAGGGAGCTGCTCCCCGGAAAGGAGCACTACCAAGGCCAGCACCTGGATCTAGGGGGAATGTGTGGGGCCTGCGGAATGGGGAGAGGCCCAGGGCCTGGGTAATGGGAGGGGAGCGACCCCCAGGGCAGGAAGCTGAGGGACTGGGTAGAGGGGGGAAGCGGGGGTGACCCCCATGGCAGGAGGTTGGGGTGTGTGCTCTGCAGCAGGAGGTGCAGGGCCCAGTATGGGGGGCGCCCCCTCATGGGGGAAGTGGGGCGGACGCGGCCCCGGGCACTCACCTGGCGGCAGAGCGAGGCGCTGAGCCCGTTGTAGAGCGCCAGAAAGCCATCGGTGCGGATCACACGCAGCGCCATGCCTGTCATGCGCATCTTCACCTCCTGCTGCGTCTGCAGATGCACCTGGGTCAGGGCGAGAGCATGCAGGGGGTCAGGCCCAACACCCCCAGCCCGGAGCGCACGGTAGGGCTGATCCCTCCCACGCACTGCGGAGCCAAGACTGCGACAGCTGCTTCTGACCCTTTCCCCACACGTTGGGGACAATGGTCCTGACCCTTCTTGGGGTTAATCCTTAGCACATGTGCTGGAGCGCCCCAGCAAGTGACCACAGCCCCGTGGGCCCCCCCACGCGACCGGAGCTTGGGAATCAGCCCCACACCCTGTCACCTGGAGCAGGGACCATGGCAGGTGGGAGAGGGGGAACAAACCAAGTTAGGGGGCACCTATAAGTAATGCACCCCCCTCCCAGCATGGCCTCTCAGTGGCGTATGTAAGAGAACGCGCCAGGCCATGGCCAATGAGGGGGGAGGGCCATGCAAGGGCGGGAGCCCCAGAGATGGTGAAGGGCGAGCGTCTGGCTCCGATGCCATAAAGGGCAATGGCAGCAGGGGCCTTTCATCTCACTCCCAGCTGCTGCAGCACAGTCCACTGAGCCTCGAGAAATACCTTCTCTCTCTCTCTCTCTGCGTGCCCAGCCTGGGGGAAAAGCAGAGCCAGGAGACGGACCCAGGAGTCCTGACCAGGCCCCAGCCCCAACCCCAGCCCGGGGTAACTGTACATCTTCCACGTTAGTAGCAGAGAGCGCCCGGCAAGATGGGGGCTCTGTGAGCCAGGGACTCCCCTACACCTCGGCTCCCCCAACCTAGCCGAGCCGCCCACGCCCTCCGTAGAGCCCCAGCCTTCACCAGCGCCTACAGCCTGTGCTACTGAGCAGGCCGTGCTGGGTCAAGCGTGGGTCCGAAGTCCTCAGGAGAGAAGATTAACAAGAGCATCGGGCCCCTGGCTGGGGACCAGGCTTCACGGGCCTTGGAAGGCAGCAGGAGTGACCCAGGAA